TCCCTAGACCCTTCTACCAAAACCTAGAGGTGACCTTCAAAGTGTGCCTGCTTCTCAGAAATGCTCTCAGAAGATGAAGGAATTAGGAGAAGCAGATGGGGCAGCCTCACACATCTGCTACCCTGTGGGGTTTATGTTATGACTTGTAACACTGTGGGTAAGTCACTACTATACTCTTGACAGTAATAAGTTGCAATATCTTCAGGCTCCAGGCTGCTGATGGTGAGAGTGAAATCTGTCCCAAATCCACTGCCACTGAACTGCGAGGAGACCCCACTTTGCAAACTGGATGCATCATAGATCAGGAGCTTAGGGGCTTTCCCTGGTTTCTGCTGATACCATGCTAAGTAATTGCCAGTGCTCTCACTGGCCTGGCAAGTGATGGTGACTGTGTCTCCTACAGATGCAGACAGGGATTCTGGAGACTGTGTCATCTGGATGTCACATCTGACACCTGAGATTGGAAACACAAAGACATACTTCCACATGATTAATCATGTTTTAAGAGAACTTCCAAGAAGAGCCAGGCACTACTGACCTCACTGGCTGAGTAAATTCCTAGTGTTCTCCCTTCTTACCTGGGAAACAGAGCAGCAGGAACCCCAGGAGCTGAGCAGGGGCCTTCATGTCCATGTTGTGTCCTGAGTGGGACTGACTCTGGCACAGTGTGTGCCCAGCCTATGAATAAGTCTTTAGGGCAGTAGGCTGTGCTCTGGGAACATGCAAATCACAGGGGCTGAGGCAAGGCTGGGCACAGCTGAAGGGCTGGCTCATCTCAGTAACTCAGCACAGATGAGTGTCTGCAAGTGTCCCTGGTCAGATGAGGGCAGCTCAGATTTGCCTTCAGAGATGATGTTTCGATCTTGGGGGTCATATTATTACAAAAGATGTTTCTGAAATAATTAACAAAGCTTGAAATTGACCTGAGGACTTGATGGTAAAAAGTGTTTCAGTGGTTTGAAGGTTCTGTAGGATTTTTTTTTTTTTTTTGGTGAATAATACATAGTAAAGTCTTAGAGGTGAGGCTCTCAATTCATCAACTTTTTCTCAAATTGTTCCATTTGGGAAAAGATACTTTGTGCTGTACTTACAGCATTTCTGTGTTGTTTTATGCTCTTTTTTTTGATAAGAAAAAACATCTAGTCAATCATTCTTAAATATATTTTAAAACATTTTATAATGGCCCTAAGCCACTGTTACTAAATTTAGTCAAGTAATGTACTACAGACACAAAGATGATATCATGTTTCCTCAATGTGTGTGTCACTCACAGATGTATCATTATTCAAGCGTATAAGTTTCTTTAATACCCAAGGCCTAAATGGGCTGCTCTTAATTCTTATTTTGGTGTTTCTGATATTCTACCCTCTGTTCTGCTATTTGATATTATTCCCCATGATTCGATAGAATGTTGAGCTGAATAGTATTGCCAGATCTGATGGCTTCGATAAAAATCAGTTTCTGCTTCCAAATGTAATTGTCAGGATTAGGATAAACTTGAAACGTTGAATCATCCTAGTCTTCCTAGGAACAATTCTTTTCCAAGTAGGAAAACCAAGGTCATATCACTGGGTATTGCTTTGAGGTGTTCTTCCTACCAGCATGGTCTTGTGGCTCGGGTGAAGCTGTCCTGAGCTTGGCTTTCTGAGTAGGTGATGGGGGAGGCCCTGGAGAAAAGGAGAGTTTATTAAATTTTCTCTCCTAAGTGAGGGTGGTTGCTGCTCAGTGCATGTCCCTTCTGTGCACCATAAATGCCACTTTTTTCTTTTACTCTTTAGCAGTGGGGGGGGGACAATATTCTGACACAGAACAGGCTCCCTGTTTGCAGATCCAGGTGACAGTCTGCATTTCCTGTCAATCTAGTGTTCACATACAAGAATTTCCTTGGGTCCCTATAAAACATGGACATAATTGAACCCTTTACAGGCATGATTTTTTATCTTTCC